ATGCACATTTCCCATTTATTTTGCAGATTAAAAACTGGGGAGACGAGGGCGATGGGGCTCTCGACAGTAGCAGTCTGAACAGGTGAGTCAACACTCGAGTGAGTTGACATGGAAAGAGTTTTTTCAATGTTACTGGGATTAATTTGAACCTGTGTGGAAAAGGTCGATTTTTCTGATCTCGTTGGATGGTGAATGTCAAAGCGTATTTTTTTGTGGATTTTTCTCGGCTCCAGGAAAGACCTCTTGACATTCACTCCTAAACCCACTCGTTCCCTCGATGAATGAACATGAAGAAGAATGTAGGAATTGACTTTTCTATTACCGCTCACCACTTTGGAACTAATATAAATTTCAAAACATAAGCCGAGGATTTGTCCTCGCTGTGCCTTAACAAAATTGGACGAAGCTAACGGCGCGTTTTTCTTCAATTATCGAATTTCCGCTTCATTCCCAACTTCTTTGGTTCCAGTTGCTACGGGCATTTTTCCCTGAGTTTTCCCAACAGCAAAAAAAGTTTCTCGACATTTACCCCCAAAAGCCCTCCCTCTGTCAATAAATTAGCATGAAGAAGAATGCAGGAATTGACTTTTCTATTACTGTTCACCACTTCGGAACTAATATAAATTTCAAAACATAAGCCGAGGATTTGTCAACCCCTGCAATTCAACATCCTGCTGTTCCTCAGAATGCCTCAACAGAATTCAGAATCCCAGCACAGAATTTGATGAAGCTAACGCAATGTTTTTCTTCAATTATCGAATTTCCCCTTCACCCTCAACTTCTTTCTTGCCAGTTGCAATTAAACACTCCTCGGAAAGGGGAAAAAAAGCACACACTCCTGAATGTCCCTGCATAAGCTTTCGACAGAATGCTGTACACATTCAGGAGCGTTATACCGGGGTTATTAGCCTTCCTTTCTCGGTGGTTTCGCATGGTTGGGCGCAAGCGCAAGGCAACCAGAACCCTCACCAACTCCCTCGTATCACCTCTTTTGGAACGACTGCAGGAGGTAAAGGGGGAGGGGTTATGGATTTTCGGGCTGCGACCTTCGCCCACGTCATCCATCGTCTTATTCTCCTCAGCTACGTTCTGTTTTATTCTTTCCCTCTCAAGTTATATTCCTTTAAACTTTTTCGGCCACTCCTACACGACCATTATCATAGATTTTCGACCCCAATTGCGCTTTTCCCTCGGGGGGTCCCTCGCATTTTTGTAACGATAAATTTTCCAGAAAGCTTTTTTATCCGTTTCCTCTACAATTTCAGTTATCCACGTGCTCCTAATTATTTACATAATTCTTCAGGATCTTCTTGCTCTCCTCGTAAACACAGATACGATCTTCGTGGGGCAAAGTGGACATTTTTAATTTTTGTTTGTGCCAATGAGATGACAAATTGGTGGTAAATTCTCTCAAGTCTAGTTTTCTCCGGCGAACACTCACCAATTTCCAAACTCTTTCATCCTAGTACTTTAATTTCTTTCTTCGTTACTTCACACTCCCTCGTGCAGACCTACAGTCTTTCTCCATACGCTCTGTCACCCACGATCATGCCTTTCATTCCGCCACCCTGGCCACGTGCAGTGCTCCATTGTTATTTACTGAACTGTCACTTGATTCCAACACTTCCCATTTCACACCTCAAGCTGCGCACTTAATCTAAAATTTATCGTGTGTGTTTAGTCTTTCTAATGCTCCTCATTGTCCACTTATTCACACAAGTGTGAAAAAAAAATGGCATTCCCTTCCTCCAAATGAATAATGATTGCTGAAAAATGTGGCCCTTCGAAAATTGACAAATGACGCTGGTCCAGTGGATTGTCTCCAGCTACGGTGCATCCACTTGACCTTCATCGATTGGGATTGAAAGCCCTAAAACATCATCCGTCGTAAAGCAATTTAATCAGAGGGACTGTCCCCCTTTGGACATCCTTAAACGGAAAATGGTCCCGGGCCTCGGAGCGTTTAGCCCTCTGTCTATACTCGGAGGATAATTTTGCCTGTTACGTAGCCGTTGGAACTCACTCGTGGTTGCGGTACTCTGCGGCATAGTGTGCCCCACCGCCATCTTGCTTTATCGATCTCATTCGCAACCGGCGTGTACCCTCTTCTCCCTCTCACTACACTGTTTTCTGGCCTACACAAGCCCGAAGTTTTTCAGCTCTCCCTCCTTCATCTCCCCGAATTTATTTTGCTCATTTGTTTGGATGTCTTCACTGGGGTTTTTTTTTCGGCTTCTTGGGGTGGATAGTTTGGCAGTAATCAACTCGGGATTTATGGTTCATCAGGACTAGGAGGAACGTAATCATTTGATGGAGGAAGAAATGGTGATTTGGGGACCAGTACAATGAATAGTGGATTATCTCGACCTGGAGTGATTTTAGGAGGAAATGTCAAAGACCATTTTTTGCAGCTGAGAAAATTTCTGATAAAAAATGATTTCTCGTATTTTCTCGTAAAATCAATCGCTGTCGAGATAATTCAGCGTTTGAACGGGGGAAACCTCATGAGCTCCTTTAAAATGGATGACACATTGGAATGATTAAAAAAATCGTTTAAAAAAATCTGAAGAAATTGGGTTTCACCACTTCCTCCCCACATTCGTCTTAACTACGTCCAACCGCAAAAAGTTGACATTTTATCATGAAATAGCGCCCCCAGGTCTTAAGAAGACATTTCAAGAGACCAATTTTCTCCATTCATTCTCATGAAAATTAATCCTTTACCACATGGTGACTGATAAGCCCCTGAATTTGTACTTTCCAAATTTGGAATTTCAGTCACGATACAAAGTGCGGTTCATCCCCCTCTCATACATCAGCGATTATTAGTTTGGAAATTGGCGGAAAGCTTAGGGAGACCAGCGGAGTTGAGGAGGGTGAGGTGGCGCCAGACAAAGATGGCCAATGTATATAGAGATAGAGTAATGTGGAACGGTTGTTGGGTGTTTATTAATTAATGGAGCGAGGTTTTGGGATGGCACGACGGGAATTCCAAATGTGAGACTGATGGTGTTCAGTTAATGGCACCAGGACGAAGCGATAAGTCGATGAACTGTTAATTTACCATCGATTTCATTGAATTTTTACACCGCGCATTTTTTTTTTTTTTTTTCATCCGAAAAAATGATCAATTTTCATTACAATTTCACGGCTGCCTAACAATATTGGTTTTCGGTCACCATTATATTGGATGTGGTGGGTATCAGGGATGGAGTTTTATTGACAGATCGTTAAAACCTGAGATTGAATAACTCACGGGCGATGAGCAAACACTTTTCCCTATAATTCGGTTAATACTGGAGTCGATACTATTGGAGTTTGCACTAACCACAGGGGGATTTTTTTTTATTTTGAGATTCTTGTTCAGTTCTCAGGTCGCGTGTGGATGGTGGTATTTTTATGGACGTGCAATTGCCGGGGAAATGGCGTTGGCTATCCTGCGAGGGCTGCGTGTGACATCGCTGGAGATACAGGGAATTAATTAAGTAATTAATTAAATGGATCCCTGGCCATCAATACTCCCTTGAAGCTGACAATATTCTCTGAAGAGTGTTCTCTGACATTTTCTAATAAATCCAGTCATTATTCAGTTAATTACACAATTAGAAAAATTAATCAATTTTAGTCGAGATTAATTTTCCCTTCAATTTCTAAATTTATTTCATTTAACCCTCAGACTCGATGAAAAACTCCCCCATTCTGGAGTCAAATCGACTAATTCCGGCCAGAAGAATCCTCATTATCCCACAATATCACGTAAACAATTTTTTTTTTTCACCCGGGAACAGAGGGTTTGAGGGAAAAAAATGTTGAGGTAATTGAAGGAGACGTTAAGTTCTACGTGAAAACCGTGACGTGGATTTTATGTATTCTCTCCTTCTCTCTCCTTCTTCACATAACACTGTATCTATCGGCGGAAATGCCGAGAGGGTAGGACTCTCGTTGCAACATCAAAGAGGGTTATTTTAGGAATTACGAAGCTACTGTGTCCACCATGGGTGCCATCATCTATTCCGTAATTTCTTTTTGCCTTGAACTCTCTTTCTCTCCAATTTTTTTCTTCATCTTCATTACGAGGATTATATTCACTGGACACTTGAGGCAGAGTCCACACTCTTGATAAATTTCTATCGTCTCGTTTTTTTGTTCAGATGATCCAATTAGTGCCTAATTTAATTAGTTGACTCGTGGAATATTTCGTTTTCATCGGGATTAAAAGGCGTGCGATTATAATTCCACTGGGGGATAGGTTTTCAGTAACGGTGGTTAGGAGGGCTTTCGAGGATTGGCCGAGAGACCACAAGCTGGACATATTCGTGGGGATGAATTATTCGGACTCAACGCGTATTTTAGAATGGATTTTCCTTGTTTTAATTGAAACGTCAGAAACCGGTTTTAATTGTTTGAATTTTTCAATTGGATATTCCTTTTTTATTTGATCGGGTAATTGAGTGTGGGGGGGAGTCTTCTCACTTCACTCATCGCGAATAATATTGGAAAATTGAAGATAATGAGGAAATGAATGGGGATGAGTCAATTGTATTTTGGAAAAGGTCAGTTTTTTGTTTCACGGTCTAATCTCTTCACATCATTACTAAATAGTAAATAACTCTGGATTGGCAGGGTAAAATTCGACGAGTAATTTTTTCATTTTTAAGGTATTTTTGTTAGCTCTAAAATGAGACCAGACGCGTCCAAATCGCATCATTCGTTCAGGAGATATTGAAGATTAAAGAGCCTCCATTTTCATACCGCAGAAGAAGAAGATTTTTTCTGTTATTTTTGCAAACAAAAATCTCTATTGGAGAGGAAAATTATGCAGGTAGTAATTATTCCTTCACCCTTTGATTTCTTCCACGTGAAAATAAAATTGATATCGAGATTAACCGGGGGCCGGTGAACCGACGATTATTTAACAGCGCAAACTCAGTGAAACCCGGCGTTTTCCTTTACCTCAGCCCTCTCGCAACATTAATACATCCCAGTCGCGCGTCGACTCTGACACGCGTCGCGCCGGAAATCGGTTGATCCAGGACTAAAGCGTTTCCCTGATCGTGATAACTCAATGTGAAGTAGATAAGAACGTTAAACACTGATAATTCAACTCCGTTCATTCATCTATCCAATTAATCTCCTAATGAAAAGTCCACCTAGTGCAATCCACGTGTCTTCCACTCCGTTTTATCCAGCACCCAGAAAATATAAAAATACCAATTTCTAACGGTTCGATTGAATGAAATAAATTGTGAAATTTGTGGTGAAAGATTATTTTTGGAAGAAATGATATAAGAATTTTTTAGAGACCATTTTTGACGAGTTTTTTAACTGTTTACCCTCCTAACATTCCTCGGCGAGAATTTTTGCACATGTGGAGTGTCCGAAAGGTGCATTAATTGTGATAAATCTAAGTCACAAAGAAAAATAAATAAATCTTCTTCTACATTTGTAAATAAACTCTGAACATTTGAAATTATGTTATTATCAAGACTCTGAAAGTCTCATTTTGATTCTCCATTCAGAAGAAATTAAAGTCAAATTTTTTTGGAAATTGAAAAATTGTAATTCTCTAAATAATTTATAAATAATCAATTCCCTGCCTAACATTATTTTTCCAAATCGTAAAATATTGATTTGCATTCAGAATTTTACTAGAAAGCAATTCTATGACCCAAAATAAAATTCCCAAGTGTAAGCAATTTTCCCTTTTTGTTTACGAGAAATAAATATTGAATAAAAGTAATTGGCTGCGCAATTTAAAAAGTGACCCATTAGAGAACTACTACAGCAAAATGGGTCTTTTTTAAATTCTGTGTGAATTTGTATTGTTCAGTGAAAAAATACTGCAATATACTCAAAACTATTTTCAATTGAGAAAAAATATTTTCCCTTTGTCACAGTTTATTTAGCACACGTATTCCCTCCAGTGACACACCGATGCCTTCCCCACCCCTAGATACACCCCAGCAGATAATTAATACCTAAAGTGCTCCAAGTGATTTTAATATTAAAATTAAAAAAAAAAACAACTCCCGGAGATGGTCTGAGGCGTGGTCTGACGACACTCGGTATTTTCTACTCACCCGTCATCCCACCTAAGGTACAGAACAGAATAACTGAAGGAAGAAATCCCTCTTTAGGTTTTTAATGTGCACTTTTGCTTATCGAAGCGAAAACGAGAGAAATGTATTTCCACATTCCCTCTCTTGAGAGCCTCACGTGACCGTATAATACGTAGGCGTCCCTGGAGAGTGTCGGAGGGGGCGAAAACGAGGGGTTGAAAGACGGGGAGTAAAATCTCCCGTGAAACGTGAGGTGTTACTCAACGAGGTATTACCTTCGGATAACTTTACAAATCAAGATCGTTAAAAAAAAATTCTAAAGACTTTAAAATGAAATTAAAATGAAATTGAAAACAAAAAAAAAACTACCCGTTCTTCCCTTTGTATCTGATAATAATTGGATAAAAAGGATCTCAATTGAACACTGGGTATCTTTATTTACCCTTCGAATGAATAAAAAAACAGCTATTGACAATAAAAAAAAAGAGAAAAACAAATTGACCAATATCTTCTACATTTTCGCGTTTATCTCGAAAACAAGTGGTTTGAGAGCAAAATGTCATAAATTTTGTTTTGCAGAGGACAAAATTTACGACAAAAAATGTTTTATGACATTTTTTCCCAGAACCATTCAGTATCGGAGAAATCGCCATCTAATAAGATGCGTGTATGGCCTGTAAAAAAAATTCTGGACTTTAACAGCTTTGTGTCTAAAAATAACAGGGAAAAACGGGGTCTTTTATGTCAAACTCCATAAATAAAAACATCAAAATGCCATCGACACTGTCTTTATTTACTCTTCGAATGAACCAAAAAAAGAAGTGTTCACAAAAGAAGAAAAAAAACAACAAATTGCGAATAAATCCATGACAATGCGCGCGTGTAGATAAATCGATAAGTCAATTGAGTCGGGCTTCCTCACTCGTTCATACTGACGTGCAGTTCCGTACAGTTGGGATGTTGGTGTGTGACAGAGAAAATGTTGAGAACCGGAGAGATGTACAAGAGGGGGCGAATATATTGGACGAAGAAGTCAGTCAATACCCCATTGTTGAAATAGTACGAAGCGAGTGAGAAAAAGAACGAATTGTTGGAATCTAGGCCAAGTAGTAGGGGGCGCTATAGGCAGACGCGTAATAGGGGTAAGCAGAGTAGGCGTAGGGGTAGCTGTAGGCCGAGGTGTAGGCGACTGGTGCTGTGTATGCAGCGGTGTATGCCACAGGGGCTGTGTATGCAGCACCGAACAAGAGGCCACGCTTGTCACGAGGTACTACCGGTGTCTCCTGAGGGCTTGATTCTGCCTTTGCTGGCTCCAGGGACTCGGCTTCTGTTGGCTTCGAGAGGGTTACAGCCGCCAAGCCAATCAGCAGGAGGGCAACCTGGCGAGATTATGCAGATTTTAGGGCTCGTGGAATTATCGATTTCCGGGGGATTCTGATGGTTTTCGAGTGTGAATTTTGTCTCGGGAAAATCGTTTGATATCTTCGGATTTAATGATGCGGTTTGAATTTATCAGGATAAATTTTAAAGCGTCGAAAAATTCCTTTGACGTTCGTCAAGTGCAAATGAAACAATTGAAATATGGAATTATCTCAATAATGAGAGATTTCAGAGCAAAATATAACAAGACTCCCGTAAAACCACTTGTTATCGAGATAATTCACTATTCACTACCGCGTCGCGTCTCCTCAACATGATTAAATTTGATGTACTCACAGCGAAGAATTTCATGTTGATTTTTTTGGTGGCTCTGAGAACTTGATACTGTTCACTGACTCGTTGAGACAATTGATGCCACCTGTATATCCACCGTCGCTTATATACCAATCTCGAGGCTCAAACATCGACATTGGTTTGGATACGTGATGAGACTGTCATCAGCATTAGTGACGTGACACTGTTTACGGACGACGGAGTATCTAACAGTCAAACACTATTGCAATGCACCCATGCTGTCAATGATATAGTACATCAACCATGCAAGTTGGAAGGATTACTTGGGTAATAGAGTCCTTGAACGCCTGCCAAATATTAACGAAAGTGTTTTACAATCGAGGACGTGTTGCGTGGATCATTATGGTGACTCGTATTGTGTCATTAGAATTGATTATCGTAGAGTGCCATTGTGGGGTAATGAATTTATGCGCTCGCGATGATGGAGGGATTGAACGGAATGAAGATATTGGTATCAGCAGCCTAGTGAGGGAACATTCTTTACAATTCCACATTTATCTCGAAGACGAGTAGTTTTCGAGCAAAATATCATTAAATATTTTTTGCAGAGGGAAAAATTTCCCACAGAAAATATCCTCTGACATTTTTGTCTAAAATAATTCACTCTCAAGATGCGCATAATTGACTTGTAAAAAGTTTAAAATTATTTCTTCAAGAAAATTCTTCCTTTGATCCATCCCCTCATTTGTATTCATTCGTGTTTTCCACTACCCCAACATTTTTCAGGGAACCTAATCCACCGAAAAATGTACTCCACCATCGAGGAAATAAATCCATCAAGAAAAAAGTTGAAAATCAAAATGAAACTGGATAAAGGCAATAACTGAAACCAATAACATTCATTTTTCTCCTCGAAAGCTCAGCATTTGCCACCCCTCTCCATCCAGAAAATCGTCAATTGCGAAATCGTTTGGGCGTCAACCGAATATACAGAGAGAACTTCCAAGGGTTGTACAGTAGAAGGCGGAGTTGTTATCAATATAGGCAATCTCTTGTGTTAGGTATCTCATACCCCACTCAGTCCTGAGTAAGGGTGGTAAACCGGGCATTGCGCAATATCGACTCCCTTCATATACTGTATAACAAAATGAGAAAGTTGTGAGGGGGGAATGGAGAGGAACAACATAAGGATGAAGAAGATACTGGAACTTAACGTTGAATTGTCCCTGCAGGCTCGTTCCCTCACTCGTAACTGCTTCAGCGTGCAAATCATGACTGATATCCCACCGGGGTGGAGTGTTTTTACGTTTTAGTTATTCTGTGGACGATCAAAGAGAGGGAAACATGATGATCAGGGTGGAGTCATCAACTTTGGGGTTAAATTTTCTTGAAACGTGCTGTTTCACTTCTTCCTGGAAGTTGTTTTACTGAAGATTGACGATTGATGACTTCAGTATCTCCTTCCACTCAATATCATGACTGCATGCATTGAGAAAAGACAAATTTTCTGCCACTGACATTAGTCCGAACTAAATAATCCGACTGGTCCAACCGAATGCTCTTTGACTTTTTCTCAAAGTCTCTCAGAGGATTGACAAAATGCCTCTCCCGCATCTTGTCCCGATAAATCCGAGTCCAAGCAACGCCGTTTACCCGCATAAAATCAGAAAGCACAAGTCCGCAACTAAATCCCCTCAATTGAATCCAAAATAGAGATTGCGGTTCGACAGTTCGGTTCTTAAGACCTTCAATACCAAAGTTATTCATGGCAATTGGGAGAGGAGAGAGGGGGGGGGGGCAATTCAGGGCTAACCAATGAGGCTTTAGCCACGACAATGGGCTGAATACACACAACAACTTTTGGAATTCTCGGTGTGGACAATGAAGAGGGGTCAGTAAATCTAATCAACAGCACGTCTACCAAACTACTCGATCAAATTATCCTCCTCGCTTGGCTTGTTGATGGTGAAAATTCTTCACTGGGGATTTGCCTGTCTTTTTAACTCACCCGGAATCCCTACAAATCCCATCATCTTATTAAAGATTAACTTATGTTGACGAATCCGATGAGAAATGTAACGCAATAACAGACGAGTATTGAATCGAATTATGATGGTTTAGGGGAGACAGTTGAGAATTTTTTTCCCTTTTGAAGAAAAGTCCAATGGGAGAGGCTCTCTGAATGGCACAAATATTCATTTTCGCAAATTGTTGGCAATATTTAATCCATTGAATTGAGTCCAATTAGGAAGATGTGCTCTCTCCAGAGTCACAAACAGTAGCTGGCAATGAGTACATAACTCCCTCCATGTACTCAGACAAAAGAGAGCCGTTCTTTGAGAGTACATTTCTTGGAATAAAGAAAATAAAGTAGAGACTGATCTTATATCGCACGGGCCATTCGGCTCGTAAGCCATCATCCAACGTTGAAAAGCCTCTTGCAATCCAACAGACTCCACTCACTGATACAACAATGCAATCCCCCAAGCGTTCATGTACAACACGGTATCGTCATGTTAGATATATAACAACGAAAACCCAGTGGGCCTTTTCAATCCTCTCTCGCGTGATATTGTTTCTTCCTTTAAGCCCCCGTTCAAACTCCTCCCATGAATCCTTTCAAGAGCTTTCAGAAGTTTTCATTTTTTTCCCTTCCCTCTGGTCTGCAGTTCCGTTTTTTTTCTCTCCATTTTGGTTTATACGTGCGTGAGTATTTTTATTATAGGGTTGATTTAGAAGGAGTCGAGGGAAGTCAAGTGCATGGTGGAGAGTCAAAGGGACAGGGACACTCCAATCAAATGAATATGTTCGACACCCTCAGGAAAACCTTGTCTCGTCAAGGTCTCCTGCGTCATCGAGAGTTATTTAGGAGTTGAAACAAAGGGGAGTTGTACATGCGTGCAATATAATGGCTGGATATTGTCGCCCATTCGCCTCCCGGTAGGAATCACATAGCCTGACGATGGAAACAAGCCTGGGCGAGCCTAGGTTTTCCGAGGGTCAGTCACTCAGGCCTGGGACGGGCTTGATTTCACCGTTCACTCGAGCCTGAAATGAGGGCGATTCAAGGAGCCATTGCCGAGGTTCAATTCAGGCCTAGCACAGGCTTTGAGTATTGAGGCTCAGTACGTCAAGGCTTATTCGAGAATAGAAATGTCGAAATAATTTTTTTTTTACCTGGGGCCAAAGTGTCATCTTGGATTTTTCAGGGGAAAGTCGACTGTCGACAAAATCGAATTTTTCCGCCGGGTGAACGGCGATTCTGTATTTTCTGACCCGCCTAACGCCACTGCGCTCCTCACTTGCCCCGGAAATGCAGAAATAATTTTTTTTTTTTTTCACCCGGAGCCAAAGTGCCATATTTAGGCTTTTTTCGGGGGGAAAGTCGACTTTCGCCAAAATCGAATTTTTCCATCGGGTGAACGGCGATTCTGCATTTTCTGACCCGCCTAATGCCACTGCGCCCCTCACTTGCCCCAGAAATGCAGAAATAAAAAAAAAAATTTTTTTCACCGGAAGCCAAAGTGCCCAATTTTCCCCTAAAATTAGTGATTCTGGGGGTTAATGCAGAGAGGACAAAACTTTTTGCCCTCAGAATCACTCATTACAAGGACAATTTCAAATTTAACGCGTGCCAAAACATTTGCTGAATGAATACGTTTGACACCCCCAGGAAATGCTCGTCTCGTCGGAGTTATTTAGGACTTGGAATAAAGGGGAGTTGTACATACGTGCAATATAATGTATGGATATTGTCAGCCATTTGCAAGGGAACCCTCATGCTCCTCACAACTGTCAAATCCTGGCAGATTTATCATTTTATTTCGCTCGTTCGGTCGTAAAATGAAATTACCCCAATTTGACTTTTTTCCGTAATTGTTTCAGGAGAAAAATTAAAAATGAAAAGACCTGTCTCGTGGCATATCTGACAGCATGAAAGCTTTGAATCAAAATCTTGTTAAATCATCGCTGATTAAACGCCCCGGCATTCAAATGACAGCGTAGAACGCTCCAAATCTTCAAGTTTGCATGTTAGTTATAATCTCATCTGCATTAACGGTGTCATATCGTTGTTTCTAAGTAGAAAATGTAGAGTAAGTGTTATGGTTTTTGGTGAGATACAAGTGCTGTTAATACCAACGATAACTCATCCCGAGTTGAGGTGCTAAACTTCACTGTTGACGTATCATAAAGTATATTCTCAGAATGTGGACACTATCCGCCAATTTACGATTCTCTGCAAAATGACTTTTATGCTTTCTGGTATTTTCCCGCAAATCGAGGCAATTACTGTTAATTTATCACGCATTTGGAATTATTTTCTCCCGAGGAAATACCCGTTCCTTTATTTTTCTGGAATATTCACCTGTTTCTACTTTCTTGTGGCCTCAGGATTGGGATATAATAAATTCCGAGCAGGACTCGCAACGAATGACGAGGGAGCATATCAAGTATTGAATTCCAATACGTGAAAATAAAAAGGAAATGACGCGTGGGGAAGTCGCCTGGGCTCTCATGACTATCAGTGCATGTGTGCCAGTCTGCATGATGCATGCCCATCGATTCCCCTTCGTTTGATTTTCAACTCGTATTTTTTATTGAATTTTCATCTCTGAAATGACGAAAATATCTCTCCAAAACTAAACCCAAAGTTCTGCCAACTCGTCTCGCTCGTTGAATTGATGAATTTCCGGCTTCAAAGCGAGCATTGAAGATTTTTTTTTTTTTTTTTACTACAAACAGAAGATAAAAACACGGGAATTTGCGGCACTGTAGCGTGCAGCTACAGCTCCACACGCCAGTCGTAAACAAAAAACCAGTGTATGTGAAAAATGAGGTGGATTAAAAAATTGGTCCTGCCGTGGTATGTCGACTGCGTGCACTCTATCAACTCGGAAATCGATTGCTCGTGCATCTCCCATTGCTATAACATCTAGGGGCCGTTGTGTATGTTTGATAAATAAATTATGGATTGCTACACATTGAGCGGAATAGGCACGCGCAGGAGTGCTTAATATTCACGTCACGCGTGCCAATGCGCTACGTGGATGGCTTAAATTTTTCTGAAAGGCCATGGTCTACTCTTGGACAAGACTAAATAATATTTTAATGAAATTCTCGGGGTATTCAATTGGAGGAGTGTGTTCAATGGAGTGTTCCCCAGGGGCTTGTGGATCGCATCGAGATTATTGTTCTCACTTCAATGCCAATTCTCTCCGAAGGTTGGAAGATATCATGAAAACTCATTTCACGATATGAGCAGCAAGCTCATTTCGATGCATCGGGTTTCATTTTAAAGTTAAATAAAAAATAACTTGAACACGAGAAAAAAATTCTGAAATTTCACTCGACCGTTTTGGATATATGGGAGATTGCTCATTTGGGATTGCCTCTCGGAAGTGTTTTGTCTGCCTATTCTTTGCCTCAAGCCTCAGTTAACTAGAGCGCAGTCCATAAATTGTGGAAGCAGTAATTTAGATGAAACTATTCTCATTCAAACAATTCCAAAACTGCACTGAAAACCCCACACAATATCACACATAGTAAACTGGGATGATATCCAACAAAACCCATTGACGAACTTCCCTCCAGAGCTCCAAGAATGCACCTACAAATTCCGTCAATCAATGTTTAAAAAATTGTCCGCAAACACACTCTGGATTATTAATTATACCCGGGGAACGCGGTTAATTAAGATTAGCTATGGTGAGATTTATCCGCTCGTTGCCACTCTCCTTCAAAAGTTAAAGAGAAATAAAATATCTGGAGTGCACTGAGTAAACGTCAAAGCTCCACTGAAATACGCCCTCGAGGAGGACGGAATTGCCTCGACGACGTAGAGTTGAAAAAAAAAAAAGAAATTTGCAAAAGGAAAAATATCAAATGGAAATGAAAATAGATAAAGACGGGGAAGAAACACTGCCGTTAGGTTTCCGGCAAGCACGCGACGTTTCCCTGACTTCCTGAAAGATTTATCACCCCGAAACCGCGTACACTGTCTGAAACATGATGTATTTGGGGAGATAGCGAGGGGAGTTGTTATTTAATTCATTCTGTAATGTGCGTTATGGAGATTTTAATGATGTAATATCATTTTAATGGCGATGGCTGACGTTATAATCGCTTTTTAATCCCAAGTTTTTACGGAGAGCATTGATTCGACAGCAAATAATTCCTCGAAATAATTTCTAACGATGAATTGCCGTGAGGTTTTCATTCAACCCCGAATAGAATGCTCAGAATGCGAGACGAAAATAAGTTGAGATGTGCATTGTGATGTGTCTAGAATAGCCCAGAACTTTGTGATATGTAATATTTCAGTGTTGACCGGATGCATCCGTCCTGTCACAACTGATAACAGGAGAAAATATGATAAACAAGAAGAATCTCGATTTTTCCCCGCGAATGTCTACATTTTGGAGTACGTTTTTTTAGATTCCTGAGATGTTTGATGGCATGGGCAATCCATTCTCGCACAACTTTTGATACTGAAAGGAGTACTCAGGTCGGAATTCTCACACGACAGTTGCAGAAGATTAACCATCATCATGACAAGCAACATATTCGTGCGATGAACATCAGTCCAAAACAGCACTTTTTGCTCTTATTGCTTGGCTTGACATACCTCTCTCCGGGGAAATTCTTCATCGTCTCTTTTTGCATGTGACCTTCAAGAGGGCGATGACGGGAATTTTTATTCCGGAGAGATAACACCTTTAGGACTTCATACGTCTCCCAAACGTACTTCAAATATGTTAGGCATCCTTGACACACAGTCCATATCTATTACCCACATGTTATACATTATTTATATGAAATATGTGTGAAGAATTCAATGTTTTTTCGTGTATTATTCTCCCCTTCAGTTCAGAGAGTCTTCAGTGAAGAATGCCCAATCCTTTGTCCATCAATCCTCAAATTCTATTTTCTCCGTTGACAAGGGATTCCTGTTATATCCTCATTATGTCGTTCTCTCAACTATAAAATGATCGTTTACTCAACTCAGAATCCTGTTAATCTCCAGTGGATTGACGAAAGTCAGCTGTCACCATCTTCCGAAAACGATAAATCCTCGGGAAAGCCATTTGCTGGAGAAATATATGTCCCACCCGTTAAAGACGATCGTTTCGTTTTTCGCACATATTTCAAGGCACCGTCCGACTCGCTTCATCGATTTCAATTTCATCCCCCTGTGTACCCCTACCCTGGCTTCTTATCCAGTCTAACGTATATCTTGGCCAAAGTTGCCATAAAAATCATACTCGGCATTTTCCCGTTATATTTTTATATTCATCCTATTCGTAAGGTGGATCAATTTATCTGTTTCTCTGATTTCAGATTCGCTCGAGGAATCGTCAGGGATTCGGGGGGATTTTCGTGATGGTCAACATGGCTGTGAATTTATGGTGAGTTTACTGAAAGGGATTGTGTATTTCGTTGATATTTTAAATGGATTGGCTGGCAAGTGCTTCTCTCATTCGGTTTTGTTATGCCCGCGGGGATTAATATAATCAGACTAAAGGTTTAACTTTTTGCGACGATGAAGCGATAATTCAATTTCATATGAGCTCTGATATTTCGAGACATTTGTGCTTTAGTGACGGGAATATTCCACCAATTTTTTTGTAGGGAACAGCGGAATTATAGGGGCAAAGGGTCAAACGGAAAAAACTGAAAATGCAGCATTCAAATAATGAGGAAAACTTTTTTTTTTCATTTCCAATGTAGAAAGTGAGAATTTAGGCGTTTTGGATAGGATCCAACGTTGTTGCAGACGAACTAATGTGTCAAGGAAGGCATCTTGGCATTCGAGTGTGTAAAAGAAGCAAAAGTATGCAGAAACCGACCAAAAAGAGAAAAAAAGGGCGCTAAAAGAACAAAAAATAAAAAAGAGCAATAGGTGAAGACTGTCTCGTAGTCAAGCGCACGTGATACCGTAACAGGATCGTTTCGTCTCGCAAAGTTTTCCGTCTCCAGTACCGTAAAATTTCCATGGCATTTGCCACCCCTCAACTCTCATTTTCACGCCCTGTATCTCCACTCGCTGACGTAAATTTTCATTTTATCTAGCTTTACGTATCTGCTCTGCTACGTTTTCGAGGGAGACTGGTAATATAGAGGATGGTTTTCGTACTTTTCGAGTGTGGGTTAGCTCATTTCCAACTTCTACCCTCCTCTTAATTGGATCTTCAGTTAAAATGAAGCACTTGAATGCCTCGTTAGTTATACCTAATGATAACAAGTTGATGGAAAACTTTGGGCTTTGTGATTAAACATTTTATCTTTTTTCGACTATTGTTGTGCTTAATCTTGTTCATTTGGGGAAAACATTTCATGTCTCATTAAGAGGGCTTTCAAGAACATTGTTGTACTTCACATCAAGTTGACGTCTCAGTGGAGGGTTTCAATGGGATGAGTCTATTTCAATCCATTCAGCTTTCGCGAATTATCCGGGCAGTGAAATGTTCATTAATTCCTTTTTTTCAGTCTTACAAATGTCCCCCAGGCAAATAATACGATTGCGACACATCAGGGCTTAATTTAAATCTTGAAGTGTAGCTCAAAAATAAAATAAAAATAGTGAAAAATCACTTCATCTCACGTTGATAACTCCAATTCAACGGAAATGCCATGAATAATGAAGGGAAAAATCTTCCACCTCACTGGGATTCTCAACAATCGACACGAGACCAAACCAATTCCAACAATTTCCGTGAAAGCGCACCCCAGAGATTCATTTGATATATGACGTTGCAATAAAGGGAGACGAGAGAAAGATAACAGCAATGACACGTGGATGTTGCTTCTCGCTCCAGGTCGTTACCCTTATCGATCCAGCCGTCCACATTAGAGTAAGGAGTCTCGAGGTTTCCATTCGATGTTTCCCAAAAGATCTTTTGCCCTCCAGGAAGAGAGAGAAAAAAAAATGAGGGAAATTGTGTGTGACCCAGTTCTTCCCTGTTACAACTTCTTGGTTACCCCGAGCACCCTCGCGTTTATACTTTCATCGCAGGATTTCGCATTCAGCGGAGTGAATGCATTCTTTAGTCTAATGCGACATGCATTCAGGGGTTTTTTTTCTAGTCATCACGATGATTCCGGTTTTTGAGGGGATCCGAAAGAGATTCACATGGAAAATGCACGAGTTTGGGGGAAACAGAGAGACGATTATTACGCGTTTTTGATGAGGTCTGGAGCATATGTGGGGGGAGATGGATGAACTTATCATGAGCTTGACCCTTAATTGCCCGACCTTTCCCCCCTTGACGCTTCCTAGCCCTCTAGAGGCGAAGAAAAAACTTTAAAATGCCAACTCAACATGAAAAATAGAAGAAACTTGCCCACAAAATTGCACAAGTCCGCTTTCCCTAAAATGTAAAACTTTTTTCATCAGGGAAAAAATAATTGAGCCATTAAACTAATGAAGCCGTTACTCTCAATTTTTTTCTTTCCAGACAATTCCAGCAATCAGGGTAACTCACAAGTGCTCACTAATCCCCACTTAGGTTGACCCCAAGTGAGCTGGAGCAAAAGAGCATTGAAGAAGTACAAGCTCGAGGAAAAATAACTCGGGAATTGAGTTGATTCCGCTGTTTTTAGAATTAAATCAGTGAAGCCTCAAAGTGGCTAAAAGCGTAAGTCCACTTCGTAGCTGCCACCAGGAGTTGGCCTCCAGTTTGGAGTCACAGGTGGAGGCTGAGGATAAGCGTGGACCGAGGCGCATGCCTTACCTCGGGCCTGACATGACAACCCGGCTGTCCGCCATGTTTTACACGGTCGAGGTCGGGGACACAAAGTTCACCATCCTCAAGCGATACCAGAATCTCAAGCCCATTGGCTCTGGCGCACAGGGAATTGTCTGGTAATTCTCATCTCTTTCATATCCGGTTTCATTTTTTTACTCGAGGTATTGATAATTTGATTGTAACGCCGGGAAAGTCGAAATAAATGAGAAATGTTGAGCTCAAGTTGACTGAAGTCACCGTGTTTTACTATTCAGCCTCTCATTTTCCGAGTTTCGTGGTAATAATGTTTATTACTCCATTGTTTTGTTTATTAGCGCTGCCTATGACACTGTTACTGCACAAAATGTCGCCATCAAGAAGCTCTCCAGGCCATTTCAAAACGTTACGCACGCCAAAAGGGCGTACAGGGAATTCAAACTCATGAAACTTGTGAATCATAAAAATGTGAGTTTGCCTGCATTTTCATACTACTGTTCCATTCAGATGGCATTTTCATATTTCACTATGTGGACAAGTATTCTTCAGAGTATTCAGTAATAAACGACGAGTAATGTCGATTTTTTATATTTTTTTAAACAGTAAATTGTCCTCATAATAAGTGATTTCACTCTTGACGTAGTGCTTTAAAAAAAATTCCTCTTGCATATTTCTCCCCTAGATAATCGGTCTGTTAAATGCATTTACTCCCCAACGATCCCTCGACGAGTTTCAAGACGTCTATTTGGTGATGGAGCTGATGGACGCCAATCTGTGCCAAGTCATTCAAATGGACCTCGACCACGAGCGCATGTCCTATCTCCTGTATCAGATGCTCTGCGGCATAAAGCATCTCCATTCAGCCGGCATCATTCATAGAGTGAGTATTCAATGCTTCACGTATCCATTCATCGTCCAATCCAATATCAAAATTATTCACTCCTCCCTCATTTTCTTATTCAAAAATCCATTGAATAGGACTTGAAGCCAAGTAATATCGTCGTCAAGTCGGACTGCACTCTCAAGATATTGGATTTCGGCTTGGCAAGGACCGCTGGTACGACATTTATGATGACCCCGTACGTTGTCACACGCTATTACAGAGCACCTGAGGTCATTCTTGGTATGGGATACAAGGAGAATGTAGACATTTGGTCAGTCGGATGTATAATGGGCGAGATGATAAGGGGTGGAGTACTCTTTCCTGGTACTGATCATATTGATCAGTGGAATAAAATTATCGGTGGGTACCAATCGCACGAAACACAAATATTTGTGATAAATCGTCCAAAAAATACCATTCGAAATGAATTTTTTAATGGAATAAAATAGAAAATATTCATTTAATTTCCAATCGAATCAGCAGTTGATTTTATTTCTCGATTAGAACAACTTGGAACACCAGCACAAGAATTCATGCAACGATTGCAGCCAACAGTACGAAACTACGTGGAAAATAGGCCTCGATACATGGGTTATCCCTTCGAGAGGCTATTCCCGGATATTCTCTTTCCCACAGACTCCTCGGAGCACAATAGACTGAAAGGTGAATCTAGATGAATAAACTCTTCATTGTGGCATTCACCGTGTCACCGTGTAATTTCAAGTAACACTGTTATTATTATCGGTTGCAGCGAGTCAAGCGAGGGATTTACTGTCGCGCATGCTGGTGATCGATCCTGAACGACGTATCTCGGTCGATGATGCCTTGCTGCATAATTATATCAATGTGTGGTACGACGAGGGCGAAGTTAATGCTGTGAGTATTGGTGATTTAATTGGGTTTTCTTCCAATTCAAGACAGATGAGAAAATGTTCTCATCAAGATTTTTTGTTGCTCTCGATTCTACTTCCAAAAAAATGTCCCTGTCTCCTCTCAATCCCTGTGGTGTTAAAAATTGAATTGTATTTTCATGGACAGTCTCCAAGAAATTTTAGTGGCAAATTTTTAACTCATTCGCATCGAGCGAAAATGTAAAAATTCCAGACGAAGATAATTATTTATTCATTCCATTCTCCCCTTTTTAGCCTGCACCAGGCCCCTACGATCACAGTGTGGACGAACGAGAGCACACAGTGGATCAATGGAAGGAATTAATTTATCAAGAGGTCATGGAGTATGAGACAAGCCATAATCCATCAGCAACACCCCAGTCATCAGTCGATACTGTTGCTGGATCACGGTAGACACGCCGGATGTGTCAAATGTTACGTTTCCTGGAAGAAACGAAATATTGTTCCCAAAAATTTCACTCTAATTACTAATTGAAATCTTATTCCGCCCGAATTTGTTTTTCTTTTGTAATCTAGAAAAAAAAATCGAGAGGTCGAGCAACAAAAAACAAATTCATGTTTTAGAGTATTTGTTTTTTCTGGAGTTTGATTGTACACATTTTTATCCTATTTTGAGAGCTTTTCATGGGAATTGCATGGCCCGTATGTCTCCTTTATGCCTGGCAAACACGAGCACATCATTCACAGTGTTTTTTTACCCCTTTTTGCCTCTATTTTCATATCGTTATGGGAGTAGTCCACTTGGGGACGATTTATTGTCACTGGATTTATTGTTGCTCGAATATTTCGGACAATCATGCTTCACCATTCAAAAATAGTTAAAATTTTAGAGTTTTGAATGAGGAATTGGCAGTCGACTGGAAAAAATAGTTGGAAATTGAATGAGTTAATTTCATTTTCGAGAACAGCAGTTCAGTTTTTTTGAAAGAGTGAAATTCAATGGTTTTTCTTCATTCTCAAGACATTTTTTCAAGTGAAAAATGATACGAATTTTTTTTTTCCTCCAAAATGAAATCAACTAATTCTGTTTCAATCTCTTCACTTCTGTGTTGCTCGACAAAGCGGTTCGATAATTACCAATTTCCTTTCCACAAATAATTTATTGCGACTGCCCCAAGAATGTACAGTGCAGAGAGAACAAATCGATTTGGATAAAGTGGAGAATTAATGAAATTATCGTTGTGAATTTTTTTAAATTGAATTGATCTAAGTTTCAAGGGCCCACCAGTGGCCCATTGTACATTTAGTCTGTCATGAATAAATTCTATTTGTTATAGATTGAAAAATGTAGCTAAGAGTGAAAAAAATAACTGGCGATTGTGTCGAGTATTCAAATAAATGAAAATTCTTGTGACACATCGAGGAGGTGAATTCGTGCAAATTGTAATTTGTAAAACCGTTGAATTTTTATTTTCCACTGAAATGAATAGTTATGTGAATATATTGCTACAGTCCGATCCAAATAATCAAGCTTTTGTAATACTAATTATAATAAAGTAATAATATGGCTAATTGAGTATATAAATATTAAATGAAATAATTATTGATAATTGCATTGCACACGAGGTTTAAACTAGTTTGTTTGTATGGATGTGTGTGTGTGCGAAGTGAGAGGGAGAGAGTGCGAAATTTGTCTGAAGAATTTTGAGAATTTTATGAGGTTCGAATAAGTAAGCCTGGGAATTTTATGATTTTTTTTATGGACTTTGGTTTTATGGAAATGTCGCTTGATATTCGTGTGCTCCAACACTTGATCCACTCAATGGACAGGGTATAGACAAAATAAAACAGTTGAATTTGTACTTCTTCATATCGATGAAATTCACCCGATGTCCAAAAATATGAATATTACTGTATGTTAATTTATTATGTAATTGTGGGGAATGAGGAATTTATTTTTTTTGCCACTAGCAATAATTATCGAACTATTTTTGTGGAATGGCTTGTTTGAATTGAATTCCTGGATTATTGAGAACTAGGAGATAATGATGAAATTTTATGTTTGTAATCTTTTTCTTTTGTTATAACTTCATTCTAATAATATTCTTTCTCTGAAATATTTTCTAAAGATTTTTTACTTCTGCCTTTTTTAATAATGTTTCAATGGTGATAATGATCGTGATTCGAGATGGATAGTTGAATGACACAAATTATACATTTATAAATACATCACGGAGGGGTGAATACAGAATAAAGCAGAATAGAATTTAAGAGTGAACTGACGGTTCATACGATAATTGGCTAAATTAATGAAAAAATTATTCATTAGGAAAATACACACGAAATGGATTACGAAAAAATAAACAGATGTCAAGGGGTAAATCGTAATGGGAGATTGTTCACATTAGCAGAGTGCATTGCATGATTCTAGACGAAAATGTCGAGAGATATTTTTTGCAGCTGAGAAAAGTCTCTATAAAAAAAAGTCTCTTGAAATTTTCTCTCACCACTCATTCCCAGGATAACTCTCCACTCAACAAAACGTGAAAAATCAGCTCTTCACGTTTCACCACCTCTCTCCTGTAGTAATAATTCCCTGGCCCTTAAAAGATTCCCCAAAGGACTCCTCTAGCATCCCCCGAAGTCCATTTCGAGTGCAAATTAACAACCAGAGGAATGCCTGTCTCAAATCGAAAATTAAAAAACCCAAAAAAAAATTCAATAATTGAGCAAGAACCCAACAGAACACCCTAATTCTGCTTTTTAGACGTAGAACTAGCCTAGACCCGCGATTATTTTTTACGTACTCTAGAAAGTTGAGCGTCAAGCGAGTGAAACAACTGTTTAATTAAACAAAAAAAAAACTCGAAACGAAAGGTAAAAAAAATCTAAGAGACTTCGCAGTGCCTCTTGATCTCGGAGGTAATGGGCTGCGCATTGTACAGCTTTTTCTTCATTGTTCTCACTGGGGCATTAAAAAAGCCAAAAAGAAGAGGAACGAGTCGCTGGCGCTGACTCGTGTTCGTTTTTTTCTACGTTTTCCAAAAAAAGAAAATACAAAAAAAAAATGATGAGAAGGCAAACACGGGACATTATGATAAGTCTCTTCTTTTCGTGCATGTGTGTGGGTGTATGTGCGTGTGATGAAGGGGAAAAAGAATATTCGTAAAAGAGCATGAGAATGGATGGAAAAATGCTCAGAGAAAAAGAATTTCTGAAGAGACAGAATAATATGAAAGAAAAAAAAAATGCGAATGAAGTAGATAGACACTTAGCCGATGTGTAATAGTTGCAACTAGAGCTAGTAGCCGATAAACACAAGAAAAATGAGAGAAAAAAAATAAAATAAACAACAGCAAACAAATAATAAAATAAATAAATAATGGAAGAAAACATGTAGTCGATTTTAGCAGTGCAAGTAGATGAAGTTAGTTCGGTAGTTGAGATGAGAAAAATTGCGCAGTGTAATCATAATTTATTATAAATATTATCGCAATTAACGTTTAATTAAACATTATGTTACCTCTTCTGTAAATAAAGTACGATAATAATTATTATAATTATTATAGGGCTAAGGGGAATGTGTAAGGAGACATTGGGGTGAGGATGGAGTTGACGTTTTGAATTTTCTGTGGAGGGGGGAAAATTAATAAAACATGGAATGCAATAAACCCGTGTGTGAATCGATTCAATTTGTTGGTTGTTTTCATTGATTCCTTTTCTTTCATTTTTTTTGCTGATGAGTCCTATTTTTTTTTATCCTTTTAAATTAATGAGACATTATTAATCATCATACGACAATATGTTGTGTAAACTTGGCTATATTATACTGTATTTACATTATCTGCAAATAGCACAATAAATTTCAAGTCTTAATCATTAACAACGATATTAAACTTGAATATTAGCTAGATGGATCGCTTCTCATCAGTTGATTTGAAATAATCATGTTCACGGAATATCCAGTGGTAAATTCGTGAGCAATACGTTCTTGATCATTGAAAAAATAATGTGAAGAACAATTCAGAATTCGTAAAAAAAACAAACTACCCCAATTTCTGAGATAATTCAGTCATTTATACAAAAGAAAAGAAACTGGAAACATAAAAAAAAAAAGAAAGAGACATTCATCTTAAAAATAAGTAAAATTTTCCTAATGATGGGTGAGATTATCACGTTTGGAAAAATATCAATTACCTCAATGTTTATGCCTAAAAGTCGAGCGATACTTTATCTACATATAAACTCTATAAACGAACTTTACACTCTTTCTCATTCTGTTGAATCTTATATCGTGGCTGGATCGTAATGATTGTTTTCCTTTTCACTAGTTTACACAGTTACAGTGTTAATCATCGTCTGAGGATCGCTGGTAGACTGGACCAAACTTGTTCATGTATTTGCGTACAAAGTCTTTAGCTTTATGTTTTACGTTCTCGTTGCACTGCAACTCGTCAACGCTTTTGCAGTGCTTGAGTTCCTTTGCCATTACGAAGTGAGTGAGCTGAAAAAAATATGATTATTAATTTCGCATTTCGTGAAGCGGTGTCAAAAAAACTCTGACGTTTTTTTTAAAATTAGTTAATTTTAATTAGAAAATAAATTACCTTTCTCGCCAAGTACTTGAAGTCCTCAGTATTCGTAATTCTCCCTTGCTTGCAGTCATTCTGTCTGTAAGGATTCAAGAATTTGACGATAACTGTGGCCATATTGACTCTAAAACTGTCTTTAATCTTCCTCTCAGCAGTGAGTTCATTGGACTGAGCAATGGCCTGCAACTTGATAGCAGTGTGTCTGGCCTGTGACTTGGCTTTATTGGCTCTCCGATGTTTTCTCATTTTGTCGATGTGCTCCTTGAGCTTGCCCCTTTCCTTCTGACGTCGAAGTTTATCTTTAATGTCTTTATACTTCTTATGGTCCACTCGGTCTTCCTCTCTTCTCGGCTACAATGCCAAGTTGACAATAAAATCATGATGAATAAATGAATGTGAAATTTATACAATTAATGAGATTCCTAAAGAGTTTTAAATAATTAATACTTGTCGCTGTTCTCTGAGTACTCACACTGATGATCCTCTCCTGCACGAGTCCATCCCTTCGTTTCTTGGCCTCCGGTCCAGCCCCGGCAATCCTCGGATCCCTCAATTTGCTCCTCTCCCCCTCGACCACCCTGACCACCTCTCCCTCGTCCCAATCGTCCTCCTCCTCCTCGTCATCTTCCTCGCTCGAACTACTCTCCTCGCTGGACTCTTCACTCGAAGAAGTCTCAGGCTGTACCCCAATGTGCGTCGGTGGAGGTGGCAGCCACTGCGAAATCCTCTCCTTCACGTGATAATAGTAGTATCTCCCCCTGGAGTCCTTCGCACACTTCCACCTCGGGGGTAAATCCAACGGAGGAATCTCCGGCTGAACCGTCTTCACTTCCTCCTCGTCAACAGTCTCCATCGGTGTGGCAGTGACAATATTCCCAGAGGCAGCCTCACTCACACTGTCGTCAATAAAAACCCTGGTGACCCCCGCGGGAATCGGAGGTGTGCCATTATGCACGGGGATGAGATTATTCTGCATCTGGAGATGTCCTTCAACGAATTGTCCCTGAGGTTGAGGCATTCCAGGATAGGGTACCCCAGGTGGAGGGAATCCAGAAGGTATTCCTGGCCCATAAACGGGTGGAGGAATACCTGGAGAAATATCCGGAGGCATGCCAGGCACCTGGTGAACATTATGATTAATCCCCGGGCCAATTCCCCCAGGACTCTGCCCCATGTGCATTTGATTATGCCCCATATGCATCTGATTGTGCCCAGCAACCTCTCCCTCGTGCACAGGATACCCCTGCCACTGTCCCAAATTAGGATTGAAGAACAGGGGATACCCAGTGTTGGGATCAATCACCGGAGTGACGAGAGGATCCAGTCCCAGGGCAACACACTTGGACTCATGATGTTGAAAGGCCTCTTGCTGCTGTCTTCTGATCCTCTCCTCCTCCTCCTTAGCCACCTTCATAGCGAAGAGCTGTCTCCTCTCGTATTTAGATAGCCTACGCACTGGCACCAGGTTCGATCTGTCTTTATCCTTATTCCTGTAAGGGTCAGGGTCAGGGCTCTCTCGTCCTCTCCGTCGATCCCTTCTGTCATACCCCGAGGATCGTCTCTCATACCCCGAGGAGACTCTCCTCTCTTCCTTCTGGGAATCCTCTTTATAACCGATATCAGCTTCTCGCTCGTGCTCCTTCATCTGCTCGATTCTCTCCTTCTTTGGTATTCTGAAGACTTCCTTCAACGACGACCACTTTGTCAATAATTCCAGAGCAAGGTCTACGATCATTTTGACGTTGTCTGACTCGACAGGACTCCCCTGGGCTTCCCCGTCCTTCTCAATCGGCGAGCCCTTCTCACTTCCTTTACCCTCCACACTCTTGTCATTGCTATCACAGTTACTCTCCACTTCATCCTCGATCTTCGGTTTGCTCGTCTCATCACTCGGAGATTCCGCCTTCGGGGAACTGTCGATAATCTCCTGCGACCACTTTTCAACGACCCCAAACACCTTGCTATCCATCAGCATCGTTTTATTCGGTATTGGCAGTGTATTCAGCGTTTTCACGAGCTCCAGCCTGAAAACCCGTGCTTCGTCACTCTGAATTCCAGCGACATCCATCATGTAACTCCAGATCAACCTCAAGCCGTGATAATCCAGGAAGAGTCGTCTGCAGGCCTCCACCCCAGACTGCAGAACCTTCAGCAATCGACTCCTGTGATCCATCTCCCTAGACCTCACCATCAATCTACTCAGGGCCAAAGTATGCGTTCGATTCTTCAGGCCACAGCTGCAGAGCTTGTCAATCTCCTCCTCCAAGTCTTCATCCTCCATGTAAGACTTCTTCACCTCTCGTTTCTTCTTCTTGTCCTCCCTCTCTCGTTTCTCCTTCTTCTCAGTTTTCTCTTTCTCCTCATCGGGAGTGTCACCGATCCAGCCCCTGCAGGTGGCAGCCTCGCAGTAGCACTTCTGCGCCTCCTTTCCGTACCTCTGGAAATGGTAGTCAAAGGTTATCTCCTCGCCAGCAGCGACGAACCTCCGGTTGAAGAACCCTATCCTCAATTCTCCATTCACCGTCCACTTCTGGGTCTCGGCGTTGGGGTCGCAGCTGTGATTAATGAACCTTGAGATGTTTCCCTTTATGGTTGCGTCGATAATCTGATCTGACTTGAGAGCCATGAAGTAATAGTGCTTGTTCTTGTCTTTGGAATACTCCTTCGCTCGTCTCCTGAAGTCCCTGGGGTCCAGCACCTCCCCAACGTACTCCATGATGAATTCACCAGGCTCTAGGTCCTGCACAGCTCGCAATCCAAGTCCCTTCTTCTCAGTCCTGAATACTTCGCACTTGGCGTAGTCGCAGTTCTGAAATCGCTTGTTGGTGCATCTTTCGTTGATGTTGCAGCGAGGGCCGCATTCGATCATCAGGAGACGATTGAGGCAATCCTCTCCGCAGCCCATCTCCCCTCTCTCGAGTTCCTCTTCCGTCAGAAAACAGTCGCAAGTCATTCTTTTAGTTTCTTTGTTGGTGTAGCGTTCGGTCAAGTAGAGATTCTCCTTGATTATCTCAAACTGGCTGAGACGCTCCTCCAGCTCTGGGTCAGTCTCCTCAGGTGCAGGAGTCCTCTGGGGGGGTTTAGGCACTGGAGATGAGTTTCTCGACTCTTTCAATGACTCCGATTCACTAGATATTGAGCTGCTCGACACTGAATTCTCAGGGAGTGAAGGAAGAGCTTCAGCATTCGACGAAGATGTCGATGAATTCAGAACTGAGTTGAATCCCAATCGTGATGTGTTCCCACCCATCTCCAGTTCACTGGACCTTCTCCATCTCGACTTGACTTTAACCGGTTTCGTCGAGTCTGAGTCGTAGCCTGGGGTCACCAGAGTCAAAGGGGCATTGACATCCGAGGGAATTGACTTGTTGCTGTTCTCTTTGTCCGATTGTGTCTCCGATTGACTGTCTGGGGTTGAGGCCGTCTGGAGCTTCTCTCGCTCCTGCTGAAGGGCTTTGGTGACATCTGCGATGGGTTTGGTGACCAGTCCCCTGCCTCGTGGACGCACCTTCATCAGTCCTTGAGAGCGAATCCTGCTGCTCCGGCGGACCCCAGAGCTGTTGGACCCTGACTCAGAGCCTGTGGTGTCTGTGCTGCCACTTCTGGATCTGAAAAGCTTTTTCTCCGAGTCTTCCCCCGTGGATTTTTCCTCCTGGGGTTTTAGGGTGACTGTGTCGTTGCTGTTTTCACTGCTCGACGAGAATTTTTGGTCCTCGAAGGGTTTCAGCTCCGGTTCACTCTCTCGAGATAATTCTTCGAGAGGCTCCGGGGCTTTTGAGGCTTTGGCACTTGGTGTTGGAGACCTCGTGGAGGTCTCATTGCTATTGTCTGAGTCTTCTATGGGAGTTGTCGTGAGGGAATCCATGAGGAGATTGTTTTCCGGTAATTGGTCGAGGTTTTCGTCGGTCTGAGGGGATTTTGAGGGCTCTGAGGAGGCGATACTGGGGTTCGTGGAGACTGAATCCAGGTTGGAACAGCTAGAGTCCTCCAGGACATCCACAGGCTGACAATTGTCTGTTTTCTCAGGAATTAGTGGAGGTTCTTCAGGTTTAAAATCCGAATTCTGAGGTTTTTTCAATTTTGCCTTTGCAGCTCTCGGTTTTTGTCTTCTCTCGATCTTCCTGGGGACTTCTGGAGGATTTTGAGGGGATAAACCGTTGGAGGGAGGATTATTCTCAGGATTATCATCGGGAATGGATTCCTCAGACACTTGAAGGGATTCTTCAACAACCACTGTCTCTTCAACGATCATTTCCTCGACTTTTTCACCCTCCACAAGACAATTCTCCAGTTTCTCTCGGTCTGAGTGATCCCTAGAGCCCTCAGACTCCTCACTAATTTGTGTTTTCACTTCACTTCCAATTACTTCTTCACAATTATTACTAGTTAAAGGGTCTTCGACACTCAAACACTCAACTCCCTGCTCAATAACTTGATATTCACTGGCTTCCTGATAATTTTCCTCACCAGCAACACCCTCGGGGGTCTCCATCACCATAGCCGTTCCATCCTCACTCTGAATCACGTAAACTACATTACTCCCCTCGAAATTAGGCTCCTCCACTAGAAGAACCTGTTCAAGAACGACATTGGAGTCTTCCTCGACGTAATCAGTACTTTCAACTTCTTCAGTCTCCACCTCCATTTCCTGACAGATGATCGTCTCCTCAATAACATCCTCAGCAGTCCAAGGCTCTTCTATCGGAGGAGCATCCTGAGAATTTTCCACCATCATCCCAGGGGGTTCTGCCTCCTCTTTCATCTCCAAATCATTCTCTGAGTCAATTTTTTTCTCAGGAACTGAATCATCCTGAGGTGACATTTTACCATCTGGTGGTGGTATTGCATCATCTTGAGGTATTACTTGCTCTTCAACTGCAACTGGATCCTGCTGGGGTGATGATGCCTCTGTTGGAGGAATCTCGACCTCTCTAGCATCCCCAGAATTACTCTCATCATTTTTCACAGAACTTTCAACGGTTTCCGGACCAACATCTTCATCCTCAACATTGTTAACAACTTCGGGGGGTATAATTTCCTCTTGAACCACATTTTTTGGCTTTTGAACGACATTTTTTGCCTCTTTGGGAGGCCTCCCCCTCTTTCGTTTGACAACAACTTCAGGTGGTTTTGGAGGCTCCTCAGGGGCACTTTGCACCTCTACATGTGTCACCTCACCATTGAGCTTCTTTCCGTCAATTGACTGTTTCCTAGCTATCTGACGACTCGATTTACGAACAGCCACTGGGTTAACTGGCTTGCCAGGGGCATTTCCATCGCTCTTCTTTCTTCTCGCCATTTTCACACACTCCAAAATGCCTGGAACAAGGGTCAACGTGTTGGTGATTGTCCTCGGGGATTTGAGGTTGGGTTCGAGGTGTACTGGGACTCACCAGGGCTTCACTACTGAAACGTGGGGATTGAATTGTCCATTTTGGATTTAGATTCACTGCTAGTCCCTCATTATTCTCCTTGAGCAGTAGCGAGGGAGGGATACCTGAGATAATGGGAAAACACGTTCTAATGAATTGATAAGAGGTGAGATTACTGGGACTTACCTTAGAGTTGGCTATCCTCGAGGGTTCCATCAAATTGGAATGCTCCTGGGGATGATTGGTGAGTCGAGTGGAGTCTCGATATTAAATAAAATTCTTGTGATAACTGTTTGGTGATGAGAAAACAAACGTTTTCAGGGCGATATCACAGCTGAGGGCTCATTAACGGGGACAATTCCAGCGCAGGGGGAGACTCCGGTTTTTAAGTGTTTTCGGATGATTTTCGAAAAGCCCTTGGTACGGGTGCAAGGACTTAGCGGCGAATTTTACGATTGGGAATGGGCTAGTGAGACCCGATGAGCGACAGTGGAACGGAACGAGACAGATGCCGAGGATCGGGCATTGAGGCGGGGGTTCTGAGATGGTAGAGTTGATGTTGGTGGGCTACCGCTCGTTTTATGCATCTTTTTTCTCCATTATTCGCGAAACATCCATCAAATGTGCACATTTATCACTTGTTTTAAAAGTTTAATGTTGATATTGAGGATATGTGATGTCACAATCCTCACGGGCACATAATTTTATTGAAAATATTCATTTTATAATTCTATGGTAAAGGATATCGGTCAGCTAGAGCGCGATATAATCGTCGGGCGAAAAACGAAAGAATTGTTTTACCGACGAATAGTGTATAAACATAATTTCAGATTTTTGAAAACATTATCTAGTTGTCCAAATTATTAAAATATAAATAAACTATTAGTTGCTAACCTATAAAATTCCATTCCTTAATTATCTCAAATTATTCCCATGTGAGGGGGACGGGAGTCGTTTGGAAAATGGCGATATACACACTCCCGGATGGGCAGAGACGTCCATTTGGGGTTTGGGAGGCTGTCGGAGAGACCAGGAATGGCTTTACCGACCGCGGAGTAGGGAATGCAAACCCCCCAAAATGCTCAAACAATGCGAGAAAATCGTGAAAACAATATCAGAAAATTATGGAAACAATCAATTCTCCACGAAGAAATAATTCAACGTCTTCCCCTTAGCGCAAATACACGTCAATGTAGCTTATTCCAAGGTGGTGGGGTGCCTGAACACTCGGTGAGAGGCAGGGGGCAGGAAAAACAGAGGTTAGCTTATTGAACAACTACCCTAGTCAGTCTCTATCTGCCTTTGTACTTCACTCGTTCCCATTCCTCTTGTGTGCATCTTTCATTTCATTCCATCCCTCTTGCTCTCCCCTCTGCCCCACCAGCGGACTCTCGGCCTCTCTCAAACAGTCGGTGTCTTGTGGGTGATGTCATCTTTGTCAAGAGTCGAGTGAAACAAATACGGGCCACGGGCAGTTGACGAAATACGACTCGTTGGCCCGTTTTTTCACGTTCAATTGTGCACTGTGAACTGTTATGTACGTCACCGAGTTATTTGACGTAGGAATCACTGATTATTCATTGATTTCGAGAGCCATAAGGTCCGTGAATAAAGGGTTTTTTGTGCTCTACCCTCTTATTGACTCGTGCTGGAGAGTGATAATTGACCGGCTCTAATCAGCAGTATAAACTCATTCACGTCTTGGATATGTCAGGATCGTAGACTCGGTGAGTTATTTTTTTTCCCGGAATCTTCAATTTTTCCTTTTTTTCCCTCGATGATTACCGACTAGCCGACCAGTTGGAGATGGATTTTATTTATTTTTAGAGGTAAACGAATTTAGAATGGACACAGGTTTGGTGAAAATAGTTTTGTGTAGTCGTTTCGCCCGCATATTCCTCCTTCACCTCGTGGATTATTCCTCCGGAATCAATTGATTGATCATTTTTCCGGGCACTATTTTTTGTGGTTTATTCATATGTTTGCCAAGTGCTTCCCCAAGAAATACTCGTCCGACGAGTCAGTGTCGACGGTAAGGTTCATTGATCCCACATCTCTACAGCATTCATCAGGGCATTAACATGTTTTAGAGAAAATTGTTTTCGTCGGATTGAAGTTCTCTTCATCTCGGGTGGAGTGAATGAACGGTTCCAACTCACGGGGTCATACGATCCCTCGAGATATCTCGGAAAGGAATTAATTCATTCGTTCCAGACCAAACGATTCGACTCGACGTGAATTAATTAATTTTAGTTTTGGAATTTCGCTATCTCCTTCAATTTCCTACGGTCGCTCATATCGCTCTCTATTTATTTTCTAATATCCTGGTTGTTGATCACAAATATCATATCTTATCAGTTCAAGAATGATTTGAACGGTCGGAGATAAAAAAACGATGCCATGTCTTGTTTTATTTTCATTCACGTCATCAATGAATCTGTAGGACCGCAGAATGGCGCTTCTGAAGATGAATTCCAAGAAGTGGGTATCGGTCTCGGGTTTTTCCTCTCTACTTCCGGATGACAGGCCAATAACGGCAATCAGTGTTGTCGAGGATATCGAGAAATGTCCGCCAAATTTCACTGTTGTAAGTAGACCACATCAAAACAACTACAAATGAGCCTTTTTAAATCTCTAACATGTTCGAAAAAAAAAACAATTTTCTCTTCCCTCGATTTCAAAGCCATTTCTCAGGTTTCAAAAATGAGACCTGATCCATCAAAATGGTAACATTTTGTCGGAAGATATCGATACTTCAGTGATGACAAGAATTATTCATCTGAAATGATTTAACGTGAAATCCTGCCACTTGCCGTTACAGGTGTCGAAAACCTACGATCAAGATATTGACGCTGATCTCTGGCGTGAGAGTGGTCTCTTCATTCGAAGAAAAGGCAGATACATATGTCACTCGAAAACCGAAGGAGTACCGAACTACGTTGTTCAGGAAATAACGGTTATCAATGAGAGAGAAACACCACCAGATGGCTTCAGCATGATTCCCCAGACCATAGACACCGGTATGCATAACTCAAAATGATAAATAACAATGGCACCGTCACTCCCATGAGTTTCGTAATACTCTGGATTTTCAGACCAAAAGGCATGGAGGAAGAGACAGGTGTGCTACAAGCTGAGGAATAGGGATGCTTGCTCAACTGCTGTGACGGATATCATCGTGTGCAGTCGAATGAAGAAAGGACCCACTGGCTTCACTTATGCGGGGTAATGAATTTTTATTAGTTGGGGGAGATAGCTATGTGCAATATTTTTTCTCAACTTTCCAATAATTTCATGAATAAAACGATTTAAAATGGAGAATTAATTGCAAAATCAGATGTTAATTTTTTGGTGAATTTCATCCTAGTCTTTTTATTCTACTCTTTTTTTATCTTTTAGAGAGATCAATGGTGTCGTAATCTGCTACAAGACTAGCCAAATAGTTAATGGCGACTCCAGTTCGCAGTCTTACGAAAATATAAAGTGAGTGTTGAATACAATTTGGCATTTTAAGAATTTTTGTTCTCCCTGCCTCCAATAATCAATTTGGATTTAATCTGTTGATCCAGTGTATTACAAAACGTATCGCCAAATCCATCAAACGGAGTGCCTCACCGAGTGCCCCCAGAGCGACCGCCGAAGCCAAAATTCTCCCCCAAACCACAGAATGGAATCTATCCACAGGTGCCAGCAGCTACAACAATAAAAAAAGATATTGACGAATCGTTGGACCGTGACTACGAAGTGCTCAGTCCAAGTGCGAGAATCAAACCCACTAGACCAGCACCTCAACCTCCAGTGTCTTCCCAACTGGGCTCTGTGCCCATGTATGGCACACTGCCAGGATCATCTGATCTTGATGGTGTTCCCTTTGTGCTCAATCCTCTTCTGAGCCTCCAGAGTGACTCCGGATTTGTGAGTATTTCTCTCTCGTCCACGAAAAGATTTTTATCTCGTGGCATTGCCACAGCAATTGTATAATGAATTAATTGTTTCCAGAAAATTCCTGTAATTAAAGTGCGCACTCGTCGAGAATTAGATAAAGAGGTGGGTAATTATGAGAATTAAGTAATGGCTTTTGATAATTCTTCATTCATCCCCGGATTGAATTGTTAAGAGACAAAACAAATAATCAATTAAAATCAATCATTCCTTAGACTATTTCCATTCACATGCATTTAATGATCAATTCTGTTTTTTTTTTTTTCGCAGTATTATTACGACTTTCGTGCAGAACGAGAGACCTAAGGAACTCGCAGGTCGATAATCGTGCCAAACGAATTGTACGAAGTACCATACTACTTATAATCAACAGTTATAATCCCCACGTTTTGTATCCATAAGAGTATAGCGTTTTAACCAATACGAGTGTAATAGAGTGCCTGACTGAGTGATTCATATTAATCAAGTGAGAATACTGTGACACCTCGCAAGCCCATAAGGTGAACAAAAAAAAATCATTGATAAATTCAGTAATGAAGCCATGAAACAGAATCAATCAATTTAAATTTAAAAATTAAGTGTTCTCTAAAATGAAATTGATTTTTCCTGTTTTACCCCTTCATTGCTGACCTAGTGTCATTCTAAGGGAAGTAGGAGACCGATTGTTTCATTAAAAAATCATCCGCTCCACTTACACCTCATATCTTCCATAAACAACACTTTATATCGTCTAGGCGTTGGCTATGTCCCTAGACTAATCAATACGAGTATTGTATTTTTATAGAGTTTGGTTGTATTTTTTTCTATAGTAGTTATTAAGTGTTTCATATGTGACTGTATGATACGTACTAGTTGCTTATAAATTAAAATAACAAGTTTAATATTATTGCACAGGTCACTGATTCAGTCGAAACAAAGAAACATCACGTGAATAAATTTCTTTTTTCAAACGTCTCTTATTCCTTATTTCATCCTCCCTTCATATTTATAACAATACAATGTGAAATTTACAATAGAAAAAACAGGGTTTATTTAATTACAATACTTTCATAAAGATCTTTTCACGTTGTTCATTATTGTATAATACTATGCGGTAATTCAAACACTGAGAGTTGCGAAATAACCGCTAATGCTTCTGGGAAAGGGGAAAAGTAATTGATTTTTTAATTGTGTGGTGGAACGAGATGAGTTAATTTCACTCAGTCTTCAATGTTTTCTGGATATCTTGCAGTTGCAGGGAGTTGGTAATATTTTTTTAAAAATATTTTCTGTGGCTCGTTCCCCCCTGGAAGAAAGTGCCCCCCAAAGACTCCTCTCGTGCCAGCACTTTGAGTTAATCCTCCCACGCTCTCAACCTCTTCTCCCTGAACCTCTTGGGACTCGTCGGTGGACTTCCAAACACCGACGCCACCAGTCATCATACAAAAGGTCCCGTCCAGTGCCTGACCTGCGTCTGATTTCCACTCTTCTCCATTCCCCCAGTCGCCTTGATCTTGCTCTTGTACTTGACATCCTTCGGCTTCAGCATACTCTTGTGATTGCTGAGCAGCCTCGAAGGCGTCAAAATGGACTTGGTGCTGAGTCCCGTGGCCTCGAGGAAGTGATCGTAAATTCCATTGGAATTTCCACTGTCTCCATTGTTATTATCCTTGACACTCTCCTGCCGACTGAAGACTCCATTAGTCAGTCTCTCTGAGCCGTCCCCCTCAGGCCTGTCAGGATCGTCCGACAGGTCGCACTCATCCAAATTAAACTCCTCGAAATTCTGCCTGATGTCCATCTCCTCCAGTTCCACAGGTTTTCCCTTTGCAGTCTCCTTAGTCTTGTCACTCTCGCCGATTTTAAACTCCTCGAAATGCTTGACGATGTTCGTCACTCTGGGAGGGTCACTCTCGTCGTTGTTCACCGCCTTTCCACCTGGTTTCACATTTCCATTATCGACGTTCGACTTTCGAGGGGTTTCCTTGAAGTTCAGACTCCTCGCAGTTGGGATTGGAGGCTTCGTCGGAGTCCCAGTGATCCCGAAGATCCTCTTGACGTAGGCTGGGGTCTCACTTCCCTGGGGATGCTTCTTACGAGTCTCGTCGATCAGGAACGAAGGACTGGGGATTTTCTTCAGGATCAACGTATTGTTCTTGAACTGGGGCTTCGGTGGGAGGGCCGGGGGTGTCTTGGGAGGAGGGGAGATGACCTCGGGGAGGGACTCGATGTCCTCGTAATCCAGGTTCTTGGCTATTGTGAGACCCTTCGAGGACATTGAGAGACAGGTTTTCTCCTCGATCCTCTCGAGTCGTAGGATAGGAGAGGGGGAGGATCTCGATTTTAAGGAGAGCTCTGGGGAGGCCGAGGGATTTCTAGGAGTTGTCGACAGGTTCGGCTCGATTATTACGATGGGAATTGCTCGGGTCGACGAGTTCTCGTCGAGCTCGTCCTCTGGACTCGATTCAGTGGCACTCCCAGAAGGAATAAGGTGGCTTGAGTGGGGAATCTTCATACCGTATTCATCCTCGGAGCAAGCCTCGAGGTCTTTCTCGGGGGTCCCCTCCTCGGAATTTCTCCGCTCCATTTCCGAACCAACGGACTCAATGTCCGATAAACGGGCCGGTTGAAAACTCACGATTCTTCCACGGTGTTTGAACTTTCGTGAGACCGAGAGAATTGTCTCCTCATCCTCCATGTCCCGGAGGAGAATCTGGTTCACGCACTCCAGAACGGAATTGTGATTGCTGTTGGGGCGATAGGTGTTGTGACGAATTATGTCGTCTGCAATTCGATCCTCGTCGGGATCGCTGTACCAGTTGCCGCTGGTTTCCTCCGGGAGCTTCTCACCAGAGTCTATTTTCGATAGTCTGCAAAAGGAAATTAATGAGCATTTCACTTCAATTGGGGAAATGAGAAAAAAAATTCTTTTGACGCTCTCAAAATGCCCAAAACCAAACTTACTCTCTTCCATAAACTCACCCATTATTATTGGTATTGTTATTATTATTATTATTATTATGGCTGTCATCAAGGAATTCTGTTTCATTTTCCCTGAGATTCCTCTGGTTATTGTTGTTGTAAGAATTCACATAAATGGGTTCGCCCTCTTCTTCGTCACCAGACACAAAATTACAGTCCATGCCGTCATCCTTGCTGTCGCTCCTCGTCATCTTGGTTACTTGATTGTCAAAGATGACCAGGGGATCCTTCCTCACGACCCCCACCCTCCTCCTCCCAATGGCGTTGTCATCCCCCAGATTCTCCAAAACGGTTCTGCCCTCGCTGTCGCTGTCCGAGTTGTTTCGAATTTGCCTGGTGGATTTGTTGAGAGTCGAGCCAGGTGAGATGTCACTGCTCTCACCCTCGCAAAAGCCCTCAGTGCTTATTAGCGATGGACTTCCATCGGTGGTTGTTGTCACAATGGATCCATCAGTATTTTCACTGCTCGTTAGGCTCTCCTTGGAGACATCACTTCCCGCAAAACTGTCAGTCTTCCTGACACAACTCCTCATCTCGTCATCACCACCACTGAATTTCGTAATAATTTCTCTCTTCAACCTCTGAATATCGTTCCCAAGACCATTGTCAAAGCGAGTAATATCGGCCTCCTGATCTCCAGGAGTTTCTATAGTCTCCGGTGTCGAGGGGCTCTTGCACAATCCCTGTTCCCTTTTACTCTTTATGTAATTCTTTGTGTATCGTCTCAACTTGGCAATCTCCAACTGCTGATTCTTGATGACATTGTCCTTCTCGCATAACTGCTGTCTGATTGATTTTTGCTCCTGTCGTAGTCGTGACTCGAGAACTAGGAGGGCACGGAGGATTTTAGAGAGCTGCTGATCCCGCAAGTTTCGCTCGGATTCGTGACACACCGTTAGAGAGTCTAGCTCCCGGACTAATTCACGACAACGCTTTGTTGCCGATTTTAAGGCGTCACGGGTACGGCTGAGCTCCTGCTTCAGGGTGCGGACTTCTGTCTCCATCTGTTGATTGATCAAATTTTTCATTAAGTCCAGGACTTTAATTTTAATTAATTTGGGCGGGAGTTTTTCCGTTTTCTCTAAAAAAAAAAGTCTCAAAAAAACAATTCGCTATCTATTCTATTCAGAGATATTCAACGAAATGTAAAAGAGTTTTAAAAAAACCTAATTCCCCCGTCTCCCGTCATCTCCGAGATATTTTCCAGATACTAATCTTCCATTCTCCGGAGGGAAATTAACTCATCCCTTTTTGCCACTTCACTGAATTATTATGTTCATTACGTCTTATCCAGAATTGAGATAAAAGCAACATAACAATTTTTTTGACCATATTTAGTTGTGGGTGTTGAATTTCATGAGTGCCCTTCGTTCACTTCTCCAAAGGGGAAATAAAAAAAAAGAGGATCGTGATTCACACGAACCCGTTTTGGGCCTGTACCCACCGCCAGTCAAAAACTCGTCCCCAATGCGCCAAGACGCCTAAAGGTGCATTCACACGGGGGTGAGAGAGAATAGATTCGCCATAGGGAACTCATCCTCCGGGAAATAATTATTCTGGGGATTGGGATATTACTGGAGGGTTTGACGTAGGTTCTCCGTAATTGACATGGGGTCCATTCATTTTGGGCCTGAATTTATGACTGGGATAGACTAGGCGGACTCGGGCCGCCCAGCGAGACTTCGACCCGGCGCAAGGTGCATTTTTATTACATTCGATGTTTTAGGACTAGGGAGGAGAAAGCATTTTATACAACTGATCATTACTTGATAAAATTTTGCAAGAGATTCTACGGAAAATGAAAAAAGAAAAAATTGTGAAGGTAAAAGAGCATGACAAAAAAATTTTTTCTTCAATTTCTACTGCCCCTCGAATAAATGACGCGATGCGGACGAATCAAGTCGCATTTCAACGGGAATAGAATTTTTTTCATTTCATCCTGCCAATATTGAGTGGATAATTAAAGATTGTCATTTTTTCCTGATCGGTTTTTGGGGAATATCTCAGAATGCATTGGAGATGGCAAAATTTTTCTATACACCATTTTTGTAGCTCCTATTTTTCACAATAAAAAAGGTCCTTACAAAAATACCCCTAGCTCCAACGACTGCCGAGATAATCCCCAAAAACAACCTAGACAAAATCTAGACCACCTGAATCAAATCCCCAACTTTCCAACGGTAATTTCCATTTTCCCCATTCACGAAACCGTTCGACAAATGGTAAAAACCGGTCGTGCGTGACAATAATTCACCAGTCGGCGTGGGAGCAATTCCTGAAAATGCCCATAATTTCGAATCACACTAACAAAATTCTTGGAAGTAACTTTTTCTCGTGAAAAAGGTCAAGAAGATTCACAAGCCCATGGGAAACAAAAGCCTCTGATCTCGATACAATTTTCCGTAACGCTATGCAACCAGACTGAAATTGCGCAAAAAATAAAGAAAATAAATATATATATCGCAATGACCACCTTCACTCGCCATTGTCTATTCCCACCGAACTGTCTATAACAATGCAATTCACCGAAGACTCCAATTTCAAGAGTTTCAAGTGGGTAACCTCGTGTCTATTCAATGCTATTTCTATTGCAATTGCCCCACGTAATGACAGATCATTAGGTTGAATTGTTATCCGCAATTAAATTAATCACACGATTTAGAAAATGTGACGATTCCGTGATTTTAATTAATTTACCTTTCGACGTTGTTGCTTTGAGGAATTTCACTGTCTCGAGGTAATCACGATTCTCTCACAATAACTGGCATTTATCACTGATGATGTCGACGTTTTAATGCACATTTGAACGACGATAAGTATTGTAATGAGAGATAACAAAGGAAGGATATTTTCTTTATTTTTTTTTTTTAAAACGCTAAATTATTGTGCGCGGTCGCGATGGCGGGCGCGTTTGTACTGGTCAAGTCTCGAGAACTCTCGACGTGAGAGAACGGAGCAGGCGGCGGGGGAGGAGAACGGAGGGGACGCGGATAGAAAGGGCAGCACAGGGAGAGGGGCACTTCTTCTTTCACCCAGGTAACCGTATTGCCGAGGTATTTTTGTTGAATAGTGACCACTGAGGCTTGACTAAACCAAAAATTATGGGGATTCGAAGGCTTTACATCAGCTGATTCTCTCAGATGAGGCATTTTTCATGAATATCTGCTGTGATTTTGTCACGAGAAGGGGTAATGAATGCTAATAAAAATGAAATTTTAATTGCTCATTAATACGTAATACCCCGATAAGATAATTTTGAATGCTATTTTTGTTTTTCCTCTCTCGCGATCCGTGTAACTTGGTCTCAAAGGCATTAATTCTCGTTCTCGTTATCTTCATGTATTATGAATATTCTGGTCTACATATCCCGAAAGGATAGAAAATGAAGAATTGACTCATCGGGGAACTATTCAGAATTCAAATTAATATTTGGTGACAAATGGAGTGTGACCTTGTCAAGTGTCACAGAATATTTCTCATGATAAAACTCCACATTAGAATCCTCAAACATGAATATCCCAATTCGTTGGAAGTATTCGAGACATCTAGGTCAATTAACATGAGCGGAATGTGTGACGTCGTAATAGTACTTTATGATTGAAGTAAAAAAAAAATAGTTTTTTGCATCTGTAGAAAACTAGCCCCGATTTTAGCAGCACAATTACTAGAACTTTGATAGGAAATTAATTTCGTAAAGCCATAAGTTTACTGAAATACTGACGTTTTCATTATTTTTTCGTTCCAAATCTCCTCATGATGACTGAAAAAAGTGTTTCTCTTTTCTCTTGGAAAAACTGTTGTGCCTATTTCTGAAGGTAATGTCCAATAAACGCAATGAGAGTCCATGAACTTCTCAGTGCCCACTGCTACCTCTTATTCCCCCCGTATTGATGCGTTAGGTGTCTAACTGTTGATTCATGACGTGTATTATCATTCTTTATTTGCGATCGTGATGCACGAGAACAGGGGGAGATTGTCAGGGAGGGAAGGGGGGCGGCGGGGGGGGGGGTATAAAAA